CATTCGTCCTGTACGTCTTCTTGTCTCGGTATCCAAACTTCGTGTTGACTACACCAAAGATTTGTCGGTGTGAAGGGAACCCGAAGGTAGGCGCTTCACCAAATGTTCAACCATAAAACCGAAAACGATGATCTTAAAGAAGTCAGGTTAAATACCAGTGTCATGCAATAACAATCGGCATCTTAATCATGTTTTCCTACTGCACGCTCCAGTTCTACCTGGCCCGAAGATTCAACGCGGACTAGTGGCCCCACTGGTACAACGGTGGGCCGGACATCCAGGCTTTGTGTTATCCTTTTCAGTCCGTCTTGGCCGCCAATGCTTTTCCTCAATGTTATTCGACTCCACTGCAATTATGCGTTAGGAGAACCACTAGCAAATTGAATGGCTTGACTCCCAAATCTAGCTAACAATCACACCACATGCATTCGTTTGTGGAATCACTGATGCGTTGGTAGGTGGGACACCCAGGTCCTCACCTTATAATTTCAACCCATTTCTCCCATAATACTTCGCTTAAGCTTCACTTGGTTTTATCATTCACTAGTGAAACAACCGGTGCGTTGGTAAGACTAACACTCAGATTATGTGCAACATAGCCTAAATTCTCGTTGGCCTTTTCCTGACCCGGTTATCTGACAAAAGGAAATGAAGTCGGTGGTCCTACATTCAATCTGTCATTATATACGAACTCGTCTTAGATAGTTTGCATAACAACTGCTAGACAAAATGATGCCTCCGGCGTCGAGTCAAAAAGTATTAGCCAAAATATCACCCGTTAGTCAACCTAAAGAAATGTGTAGCATAACGTCCCATAAACCAAACTCAGCGGACCCAGTCTGCTGGAACAGACTTGCTCTCACTGTTTCCCTAGTGAGTTGTGCAGATCATTTATAAGAGCAAGTCCCTCGAATTTCATGAGAGCTGCAGGAAGTTTATCCGCTCCTGCGACCTAACACAATACTAACACTGATCTCATATTCGACTTCTGTATGTGCGCGTAAATTTTAGAGGATAGCTGTCCACTCTGACCTCATATAGTATCGCTAACACCAAGTCCAAGCACCGCCAAAGTGATTTCAGAAGTTGAATACATAGCCTAATCGAAGCTCATTTAGTATTCGAAAGTGGTCCCGGGTAACTGTATACAAAAGGCCATAGACAGCTGTGTCAGAATTCAGAATAAGCAACAGTATTGAGCAGACTAGACTCTCTGAATGCAACCGAGATGGAAGGCAAGGAATCAGGTTGGACAAACACACAATTACTCCATCGATAGGTGAGCAGTCGCAACAGCAGGCTAATTGGTTACATCAATTATCAAAAGAATCTACGTGTCGAAGTAAATCAGCAGGCGCCTAGAAAGAAACCTCAAGTGGCGACCCCCTGTGAGCAGCTCTGCTTCAGATTGACAGCATAAAAACAACGATCGTCTGGGTCGCAATTGGACTACCACAATGTACGGATCAATCGAACTGTCATTCGGTGACGTGAGAAGCTTCAAGCTCACTGTGCGTAAAGACAGCGCAAGATCAAACTGTTACCATTGCCGCGCCATCGGCTGTCTACACGAGTAGGCGTCGCAGCTTCTGGAACACCGCGAAAATAGACGGCCTCGACAACACGTCTCCTCCAGTAGCATGTGTACGTGTTTCAAACCGCTAAGGTTGGTACCACAGAGAATTCTAGAGAGCAGATGCGGGTGATGGACGGCAGAAATACGCAAGGGCTCCAACAAACTACAACACTTTGGCGCAACAAGAGGAAATTCGGATTCCCTTCGTTGCAAGCGACTAGCCATGTGGCCATCAGTTCAAGCATCCGGTAGCCTTTAAAAGAGGGACACAACGGACCCGCTTGACATAACTTTTCATTGTCATACAAAATAACAAATATTGGCTCATCGTTTAGTTCAGTGATAGCATATCGTGTTCCGTCGACTACCATTAATGATGGTTTACATCTGAATATTCGGTGTCCGTGTGCCGGATGAGGAGTAAGCGCAGTGCTACCGAAAGGCTAAGGAGGTAGACGATTAAAAAGCCGCTCAGTGAGCGTAAGTACTTGAAAAATGTTTCGCGTACTAGATCATAGGAAACGTGCTGGCAACACATGCAACAAAAAGTATAATCGGTAGGTAAGCCAAAGACTGATCGCATAAGAGAGTCACAACAAAATCTACATCACAAGTAGTTATAACAGAACTAGTAATAACAGATAGATTGATGAAAAAGCACCGTTGCAAAAACGGCAAGCCCAAAGGGTTCACGCAATCAAACAAACCCGATCGAGAATTGGGTACATAAACAGTGAAAGTTTAGTTTAGTTCGGCTCAGTAAAACAAAAGCAGCAGACCAGGTTGGCCCAAGGCGCTTAGCCAAGATAATAATAGATGTCAGTGGTGATGCGGATGAAGTTAAATTTAAGTAGAACGTGATGAACACGTTTGACTGGATACACTTGTTGACATGGCTAGGAGGTGACCTCAGTGGCATTCGTGTTGTGAGTTTCTTTGTCCCGCCCCACCCCTCTTAGCCTCCCCCTCCAATCGCGATCTCATTTCTTAGCAATAACATAAATTTTGGTTAATAATTGTTTGTTGCTTAGTAACCGGTTGGTAGCTTTCCGAAACGATGCCCATCCGTTACTGGTAGCTCAGCTGCCGTGCTGCTGTTATGTTTTTTCCTTTTCTCATGTATTGCGACACAATAGCTGAGGTATTTCCCACCTCAAGCTAAGGTTTATAATGATGATGATAAGGATGAGAATACCAGGTGCATTAGGAACAGGTGTGAGCAAAACTTAAAACGTAAAGCGCAAAGAACCAAACACAGGAGTACCATTGATTTCACGATCGCATCGCGATTGATGAGGTCTCTAACCACTGAGGCGGACTTACCCGAGGCCACCTTCGATACGGACCAGCTTGACCAAGTCTCTCAGTCAACCAGTTCGCACTTTTAGGCTCCGTTATCGATTAGCCAAGTTGTGGTTTTGCTCGAATAAGTGCAGTGACAGCACAAGAAAGGCAGTCGACAGACACAAGAGAACATAGCTAAGGGACTCAAGCTTAGTAAACACTCCAGTGAGGCGGCAGAAGGTTTCTTTCCATCTCCGACTAGTGTACATTAAGAATGCGAATCCATTGCTACCATCACAGGAGCAATGCTAGGTGGGCACCGATGATCAATATTGGCCAATCATTTTCTGTCTCTAGTGCGAAGTGGACATATCTCTGATAACAGTGCGCACCATACCCTCAACTGACGAGATGATGTCCCATAGTCTCCACGGGTTAATTAGATTTTGGAAAACCACACAGAATTCCCTGATACATAAGACATAGTTCTCAGAGTAATGATCACTAGAAGCGAGACAATTACCAAGAGAAGCGAACCGAACGACCATTTCTAGTAGCTGCATGCTGATAGTGACGTGTCGGCCCAGTAGTGCTAGGCAAGCAGCACTTGGTGTCACTCTATCAAGAAGCGCATATGCATGGAGTTGAATCGACAATCACCTCCAGGATCGTCAGTCGGTCACCAAACAAGTCGCGCTTCAAGATAAGGGATGCAGATGGAATTCACGCGAGTTGCAGTCGGTTAGGGCAAATTAAAACATATGGAGGTAAACGTCGAACAACACACATACGGCTGTTCACTGGAATGCCACACGACTGCAATGCTCACAAGATAAAAGCCTCAAGTCATCGGCATTGTCGAATTCATTAACTGTCAACAGACTCGGATCTAGATGGTCAGAAATCGGTTACCATGCTGCACAGCAAACAACTCCGGTGGAATGAAGAGTGAGAGCCATCGTTATCCGCTGTCGATGTGACCCAGAGTGTGAACACTGAAGTGACAAAAGTGAAAGGGCACCTTTGGTCCGAAGGGAGAATGAAATGCATCACTCGCATCAGCTGTGAAGTCAGCAGCACGTTAATCATGGGTGAGAAAATAAGAAGAAGAGTAGGAAGAATAAAAAGCACTGATGACCTACATTCAATGTCAAGCAAATCATAGTCCTTATTGAGATTGACTTTGGAAATCAAAATATACAGTGGCCCCATAAAACCTAGCTAGTCATTCTTAACCGATCTGCTAAGCGTACCTCGCGGTTCCCAGTGACCTAATGTGCAGGGAGTAGTCGTAAGCCCCCGCATGGCGTGCAACATTTCCAGCTCAAGCTGACTATTCAGAGAGCACAAACAATATCTAAGTTGGTCTTGGAGCATAGTGCTGAGAACGAGGAATACCGAAAACTTCATGTTGAGGGCGAGCCTGTGTGACCGGTGAGCATTTACGGTTAGCAGTTTGGAGCAAGAAGCGCAATGATAACTAATGGATAAATTGAAGAAAATTCTAGCTACTTAGGAAAGCAAGGAAGAAACAGGTCGGTAACCGGCAACACCGGTTATAAACGTAGTGAAGCAGTTGGAAGATGATTCTCAAATGAAGGACAATCAAAGAAGTAAACGGGATTCCATCCTTAGATCAACAATGAGTGTTCCATCAAAATCAAGCAAAGATCAGTTAACTCATGAGATGTCCAGTTACGCCAATAAAACGACAAATAGCACGTTTACACATGTAAATGCATAAGAGCAGAAACGAGCAATATGGCAAACGTCGCTAAGAAATACGTGAGCAACGCCAAAAATAGGATTGTTTATTGTCAACAACGGCTATTTCTGCCGCAGCTCACCCAATTGCTTGAATTGCTGCCCCGTTGAGCCTAATGTGAACAGGCACGAAGTGCGATGCTTGGTATACATTTGATAAAATGATGATGTATTTTAGAGGAAGAATATCTCCGTGAGCCCGTGTACCCCAAACAAAATGTAAATCAGTTAGAGCGAACCTAATATGTGGCGTGCTTCACAACGCGCAACTGGATGCCTGTGAATAGACGAGTAAAGTACGGTGACGAACACTTAATAATGCCAATCGCAAAGTATAAAGAGCAGAATCAAACTTAGCATCTGAATGTAGACTTACTCATATGAACGGTACGAAAGTGTGTCCGTAGATTATCTGCTCGTGAAAACGATTTATCACAGCAGTTACACTTGTGTGGTCGTTGAACTGAAACAGAATGCAAGTGATGGAGCATTAATTGGATGGAAGACAGTATGGGAAGCATAGACTCCACATTCATCAGGTGCACTTGGAACAATTCACGGACGAAATACATCCACGACAAAAATACAGTGCATAAACCAGTGACGACTGGGTGGAACAGGAAGCGTAGCAGGGAAGAGAAAATGTGGATGTGGCATTCGTAAAAGGAATGATAAACAGCGAACATTCACAGATTATTGAAGTAGACATGACACATTGTCAACAATACCCAAGTGCGGAACCAGGTAAAAGCAGCGTTGTGAGGTGTGCAGATGGCCGTTCAACTATCGAACAGCGTTACGCCGTCTTCAGTTGCACATGCAGCATTGTCATCAGCCAGCACAAGTAGCGTGTACCCGAATCAGTGGGACTAATCCGTCCTACTTTGTAGGCGTGACAAACAAACCCAACATGGGTCCGCTGGAAGGCGCACCACTGACGAGACCCGGAATGTCGAAACACCAGTGTTTGGTGCTTTTCCAGACTAGCCTAGGCCTGTTGACTGGGAATGGACCGTGATGAACTAGCTCTAAGCATATCAACCCCCCACTACTCATTAATAACTCGATCATCGTCCCAGAGTAAGCGCACGCGTTTCTCATCGCTGCGGACACTTCGCGTACAGTGAGCTGAATAAGGAGGGGGAAATAGCAGAAGACTCAAGTACTTAGGTTGGCGGACCAGAACTGTGTGAACGTGAACTCGGTGGCCCACACTGACCGTGATACTTGGTGAGCAGTAAGCTCAACATCGTGTTACTCATCGCTCATTCCAATACAGCCCTAGCATTCAGCGAATCCGACATTAACGTGCCACCTGTCGACCCGCAGCAGTCAGACAGCCATTGAAGCAGAGTAAACAAGTAAACAACAAGAATAGGTCATACTAAAACGGACTTCGTAGGTTTTGGGCACTCACGCGTAGCCTCGGCAATTGGACCACTCGCATCTTCGTCTCAATAATACGACCAATGTTGGAGTACGGCTCACCCGCATGATGTCCTATCACCACAGGAGAGGCAGAAATCATTGAGCGGATACATCATGTGACCACTAGGCTCAGCCCCAAGTTACAAGGTGTGCCGTATGAATACCGGTGCAAGAGACTAGGGCTTTACACCCTGTTTTATCGCCGATTGCGAGTTGACCAGATAATACAACTTGGTGATTATCCCATGTTGAGGCCGCTGCTGCATATGCGCACACCAAGCAACACACTGGACACCGGTACAAGGTTGTAGTACAGGATGTGAAGCGGGTTACCCACCAACACTGTATGGAACGGAGATGGTGAATGTATGGAACAACCTGCCGCATCACGTAGTTGAGGCAAAGTCGATGTCGGAATTTAAGAAATTACCGGACAAACCCTATTCCGATATGAAATGCTCTCCAACATAACAGGTCTTTGTGCCTGAAGGATTTTAGATGCAGCTACAAAGAGATCTCTCCTTGCTGCTACTATCCACTATTCACTCCTTACCGGTTATGTCATCCATGGTTCTGCACATACGACTGAAATAACAAGCCACCACGGCAGATAGTATTCGTACACTTTTGACAGTATACAATAAGTGACGCCAGCAGCATAACTGTATTGTCAGAGGAATGACAAGAGAACTAATGGTGCCAAACCAAACTGATCCTCGAGACGGATAAGCTGCAGTACTAAGATGCGGATAAACAGCAATGAAAGTTGTAAAGCATGATAAATCGCGGCCGGACATATTATAAACTGTACATTCATCAATCGCCAGTTCACTCTCTGTCACAAGAAAGGCCATAAAGAAACAGATTGCCAAACGACCACATGACCTCTTTATCATGTGGGTCTGTCAAAAACGTCTCAGCAACACAGAATCCAATGAGAGCCTAATGTGGTTTATACAACTGCAAAGGAAGGAATTTTCCACGTCGCAAATTCATCACCGTAACCATCAATGGTCACTCATTGCACCTACAGCTGGATACCGCGTTTGACATTAATATCATCTGCAATCCAACATGGTCGGCTACCGGTAGACGAGCACTACGCATTGCGGAAAATACCGCAAGGAGTGCATCGAAACCCATACGTCTCTGACTACTCCGGGCCAAACATACTTGGTATCGATTAGATCACCGCGTTATACTTGTGGACGATGCGACTGAGGAAAGCCTATCAGGTTCGGGCATGTCATCAAAATGCGACTCAGTGCAGAACTCCGCTATCGTCTACGATTTGCAGAAGCAATTCCCAGAGGAGTTCAACCCCACACTTGGTTGCTGCATCCAATTCACGAATGATGCAAAGCCTCCTTTCCGACCCAAAATGTCCGGTACCGTATGCTCCTCTTAAGTTGGCTTACGGTGAATCGGAGCGCTTAGAGGCAACAGGGGTAATTTTTACAGTGGAATACTCAGACTGGGCAGGGCCCATAGTGAAAAAGCAAACTGAACGATTGACCTATGTGAAGAGTATTGAGCCCGCCTGAACGCAGTACTGAATCTCCACCTGCTGCCACTACCAGACCCAACGGCAGTCGAATTTTCTCGGAGTGATCTCTCGGATGCGTATATTCAAGTGGTATTCGATCACGCACGGCGTCTACTTATAATTAACACTCACCGTGTGTTGTATCAGCACAATCAAGTACAGTACGAAGTGAACGCTGCTCCGGGACTTTTTAACAACTGATAAATATTATGCTAGTGGACATACCATCGGCTTGTGCACACTTGGATGACATTATCGTCGCATCAAAGGACACAACCCAGTATCGTGGCCACCCCTTGTAGTTATTCGAACGTCTACTAGAATATGGCTTGACTCTGAGAGCTGATAAATATACTTTGTTTATTCCTCCACTGAAATACCAAGTTTTCATTGTCGATCGTGAGGGGCGAGGACCTGATATCGAAAAAATACGTGTCATAGTGGAATTGCCTGAACTAAACGATATACCTACTCTGCAATCGTTCCTGGGCAGTGCAATTATTCCTGATATGTATCGAAGTTGCAGGCCAATGAATGAGTTATTGAATGCAAATCGTCCCTGGTTTTCGTCATCCTGACGGGAGGTACGGTTTCGACAAACTAAGATAGCTCTTGTAGATGACTTAATGATATATTATGACCCAGAAGTAGATATTATTGTCTCAATAGATGCATCTAGTTATGGTGTTGGAGCGATTCTCTGTCAGCGGTCCGATTGACCACTATAAGATCGGTTTCGTGGGCTGGCTTAAAAGGTTCTATTAGGTCTACGAGTCCCCATCTTGTCCCGCCTAAAGCCATTCTAATGTATTTGGATCTGTGACAGAAATTCAACAGCATAACGTAGTCCGGATACCAATTTGGTGATATGAGATCCTTCATAGGATAACGATAACAGGTTGTCCGGTTTTCCAACGACCATGGCGTTTAGCGCCCGATTAACTTACCGTAGCGACAGCCGAATTCGACCATTTGCTACAACTGGGCATAATACGTCCACAAAGCAGTACGTGAGCATCGACTCTACATTTGGTCCCGAAGAACAAAGCTAGAGATCGGACACCGTGTAGGGATTATCGATAACAACAACAACAACAACAACAACGTCCAAGACAGATGTCGCGTTCCGCATCTCCGGAATCCTTCATCCTCGCTGTACGGAACAAATCGTGTTCAGTAAGAGTGAGTTAGTGCGAACATACCACAAGATTCCCGTAACCAAATCCTTTGGCTAATTGGAGCTTTTGCGAATGCAACGCAGCGCAAACATCTCAACGTTTTATGGATCAGGTCATTCGCGGCCGAGATTTCGTTTTCGTCTATACTGACGACGTCTTGGTTGCAAGTCGTGACCACGACAAACACATGCGCCACCTGTGACAACGTTTAAACGAGCTGCTCATTATGGGGTAGTTATTCACGTCGTCAATTTGGAGTCAACACGAAACACTTACTTGGTCCACATGTTTCCACTACAGGAATTACACCCTTACCTGACATAGTGACAGCCATCAATGAGTAACTCATCTCTGACTCGTGGTTTGTAGGCATGGTTAACTTCTATAGAGGATTCATCCCGCACTGTTCAGAGTTAGTCCAGCCACTTACTGAGCTACTCAAAGTAGATGCTAAATTGTTCAGCTTTACGGAAGCAGCTAAGCAGGCATTAATTGCCAATCTTCCCGTGCAGCAAGATCCTAAGGTCACTTTACAGGTAACGGTGGAAGCTTCAGATGCAGCAGCAGATGGTGTTACGGCAGATATGAATTGTATCTGATCGCCATTTTCTCTAAAAATAAACAGAACCTGCCAAACGACGTTATCGCATGTTCCCCAGAGTACTCCTGTCTATTTACCTCAATGTGCGTCATTCCCGACACCATTTGGAGGGACGTACAACCACGGTATCCACCGACCATAGGCCGTTAATGTATGCACTACGTTCCGCTTCTGAAAATCTTTCCTCACAAGAACCTAGAGATGTGGATTACATTTCCCATTTTAGCTGATATACGGCATTTGTCAGGTGCAAATAACGCCGTAGCAGATGAGTGATCAAAGGCGGAAATCAACACCTTATATAAGCACTCTGCCATTGATCTTCATGAATAAGCCACAGTACAGCGTAGGTACAAGCAGTTGCTTCTACAACTGCAAAGAACCAAGTTAATTAAAACCCATTCCGATGCTTGATAGTTCGGATGTGCGACATTTCTACTGTAGTTTCACCGAGCTGTCAGCGAGTCACTTTTGCTTCTGTACATGGTCTATCACATCCGGGTATCCTTGCAACTCGTAAACTCATTTCCAATGGTTTGGTGTGGTCAGCACTGAATAGAGACGTGTAGACCGTGGTGTGGACTTCTCCCCTGTCATCGTTCAGCGCTATACACAGGCACCACTTGGTACTTTCACCGTTCCTGATGCTCGTTTCAGTCACATGCACACAGAACCCGTCGGTCCGCTGCCGCCGTCGAATGGATATAGGT